GAGGTGAAAATGAAGATAAAAAAGATAAAGGGCAAAGAACAATACATTATATAGGAGAGCACAATGTTTTCTTTAGTTCCACAAGTTAGTCCTCTGACTAGCCAACAGATGCAGCATGTTTTGGCAATGAACTAATTGACCCTCAAGATTCCCAACTCAAAAATACAGCAATAAGGTGTACTGGAACTTTTTAAAGAAGTTAACATTAATTTACTGCTGGTAAAGAACTAATATTCAAAAGAGAATAAAAAAGTTTGAGTTGGGTGGAATCACATTTTTTAATTAATTTTTTCAGTGACATGCTTTTAAAAACATTTACCACAACACATTTACCCAGAAGCAAAGCTGACAATTAAGTTACAGATTTGTTTAGAATTTGCATTAAAATGTAGCTTATATCAACATCTTTAGTTTGTATTATGTGCAGAACACGCTGACATAACATTTTTCATCTAACTGTTCCTCACCATGTTTTAAAACTGGTCCTAAATTTTTTAACTGTTTGTTTGCAGGAAGATTCCTTCTAAAATACTAGAAGTCTGAAGCAGGGATAGGGCTCTAATTTTGTTGTAAAAAGAAGTAATAACATAAATTTAGGTTCTGAAACCAGCAGAATTATTTTGAATTTACAGGTATCTACCAGAAAATATTTGATCTAGTAATTTCCACTGGCTACATAAAAAGTAAAAGGAGGCAGAATCTGGCTTAAGAAACCCAGTAGAAGATAACATTATACTAATTTTACGAGGAAGCCCCATGCTGTCTTTGCTTCAACAATATTACACAGTCAATATACATAATGGGATTTATCAAAAACTGGTTGGGTTTCTATTCACTATATAAAGCATCACTATACCCTCCTCTTTATCTACTTAAAACAGTTGCAATTATATTTTATCTTTACAACTACAGTGTCTTACAGTCACTGATTAATTAGACAAGAAGCTATAGATTCAAATAACTTGAAAACAATTTATATGTCCTGCTACAATCAAGTTAAAATATTTTGGCCTTACTGCTGACTAATGCACCTACTGACCAAAGAATATTATGATTTAATTGAAAAGGAAGGATAAAGGTGTGAATGAGACAGAATTAGAAGAGGAGATTAAGTGTGATACTGAAGAGGAGAACTAAGGCTGAATCAGTGCAATTTAAAATAGTGTACATTTAATGCAGTTTTTAGATGCTTGTTTAATCTTTTTAATTTAGGAAAAGCAACACTTCTTATTAATAACTAACATTTGCCAGTTTTGATTTTTTTTAAATGTGACCACCTTTTTTTAAAAAGTCGGAAGTAACTTCTTGTGGTTGTCTAAAATAAAAAAGTAAAAAAAGGTCTTTTTGAGTTCTGACCAAATTTCAATTTACAAAATATTGATTCTGAAAAAGTAGCCTGACAGTAGAAAAATACACTTAATGGAAGAGTGTATAATACTCTCACGAGCATAATGATAATATGTTATATACATGTTCTGGAGAGAACAATATAGCCTACAATCATTAATGACACAAATCTCAATTAAGCATATCATCTGATGTAAATCTTTTACAGATAGATAGAGTGCGATTCAGTGATGATAAGTACTTTGCCTGAGGTTACAGAACAACTCTGACAGAGCTGGAATTTAATGCAGCTCTTAAGTAACTCTGATACCACAGTTCTGAGCAAGACTCTACATACTTACATAAACAGATCTCCTGTTTTAACTATGCCAACTGTATCTCCTCTCACTTCATCCAGAATTTCTAATGCTAAGGATATTATGCACTGGCATTTAACATAAAAAAAATCTCACTGCCAAGTAATTTTACAATTGGTTATCACCTTTATTAGACTTAAACAATGTCCAGAGTTTTATCTGCAGTTTAATCCAAGCCTTGAACAAGATGAAACCTAAGCCTCACAATGAAGAAAGCTGGTTAAATCAAAACCAGAAAAGACTGTCAGAGTCTGCAGTCCTGCCTGAAATCCCATAGTGATTGTTCTAACATTTTAAAAAATAGTACATTGTACCTTAAATACAAGTACTGTGACCTTAATCAACAATACCAACTCTCCAAAGCTTAATGTGTCCACACACTTGATTTTAAGTGTCTGTTCATTTTTATTTTCAGAATTCCCCATGATATTTCATACAAATATGGAAAGAAGAACACATATTAATTAACTGTATGTACGGCAACAAAACCTTTAAAATGGGTAAGCAAGCTGATTTTATTAAAAGGTTTGGAAGAGTGTCCTTTGGGATCCCTGCTCTTGCTCAAAACAACAGAATGAATGCATCTGCTCAGCGCTGGCAAAACCACAAAAATGACAGGATGGGTAAGGAAAGGGGTAGAAAACTACTGAAAATTGTATAATGTGATTATACAAATTGATGGTTTGCCCTCATCTTGAATACTGTGCCCAGGCCTGGTCACCCCATCTTACAATAGATAAATAGAAGGACAAATAGGAAGGTCCAGAGACGAGCGATGAAAATGATTAGAGACATGGAGAGACTTCTGTATGAAAAGAGAATGGAAATGTTAGGACCATGTAGATCAGAAAGGAGACAAGAAAGAGCACCTGTGATAGAGATACACAAATAATGAATGGCAGAAAGCAGATAAGTTGAGTGCTCTAATTGGTCATTTTATAAGAAAGTTCAACAGGACAATTAACAACATTGATAGATACCTCATTTACAAGTGACAAAAGGAAATATATTTTACACAACAACTTGTTATCTCACAGAGCACACTGCCAAAGTGCCACTGAGAGGATGGACAAATGTACATTTGTAGCAGCTCCAAAAGCTGAGGGACAGCAGCCACTTAAGTGCCTGCACCAGCTGTTATGCTGCAACTGTTATACTTGCATGAACCTTAAGAGACCCAAGTGAGCTAAAACACCCCAAATTTGACCCCAGAGGCCTAGATTTTAGCAGAATTTAAAAAATGGATTAGGCATTTATGCAGATTATGAGAATATCTGCAGTCACTTTAGATAGGATACAAAATATACTTGGGGTTTATACCCTAAGGCTTCAGAGCACAAACTACTGACATAGATTAGGGGAAAAAATCCCTGTATGTATATATCATTCAATAACTGTGTTTTATGGGGATTCCTGAACTTTCTACAGAAACATTTCATAACTATGACTCTTAGGCAAAGAGAGAGAGTCAGATGGACCATTTGTCTGACCTGGTATTCCTATGTTGTTATTCCTACGTTGCTAAACTAGACTTGTGACATAATAATCATTCCCTTTGTAAGCTGTCAATGCAGAGATCCAAGCACAAACCTCCCATAGAATATATTTTGCAAACTGTATCCACATTTTTTCAAGTCCATGTTGCCTTTACAACGTGAGGAAGATGAGGACTATGATGAAAAGCTAACTGACTGTGCTATTTAACTTCTTATCTGTCCAAGTATATAATGCAAATTCAGAGCAGCAATATGTCTGAATAGCTATCGTCTATAAGGGATATCATTTTTGCCTTCTATAAACAATAATAAAGGATCTGGGTGGTGTAAAAAACACAAATGGGAAAGAAAAAACACAAAATTGATACAAAAAAAAAAGTTATTATAACAAAGAGCTACTGAAATCCAGTCTCATATACAGGAAAAACAAGACTGCCCTTTAAAACACTGTAGTAGCCAGTCTGGCACAGATTTGTTTAAAACTGGGACATGGGTGTAAGTAAAATAAAGAGAAAATCCTTCACTTGCCCCTGCATGCTGCTTTTGCTTTATTTGTCTTTTCTCTTCCTCAGCCTTCGCTGTCCGTTCTCCCCATATGTATGAAGACACCCCTAATCAGTGAATGATCTGGGATGTCTGATGTCACTGTCAACAATGTAATCACACTCTGGTCTGGAGAGATACAACAGCCAGTGTCACTTGTTCAGAAACTCAGCTCCCGGCTGAATGCAGCTAGCAGAAAAATCATTCCCTAGCGCCCACTTTTCTCAGAGAAACAACTACAGCAAAAATTCCAGGGCCACAGAACTTTATAGGAAACAACAAAATAAATCAAAATCCAAAAACCTTAGGGTCCTTTATGCATTTCTAATCAGGGTGCATACAACTTCTAGTGCCTAGAAAACAGCAATAAACCAAGCAAAGACAGCCATGAAGATGACACCATGACACCTGCATTACTAATAAATATTAGAGCCCCTGCACATGTTGTGTCATGATAAATTTCATCAAGGTTTTAAAATTACTAGTTGATTACAATTGTTATCTTTAACTCATGTATAACCACAATAAATCATTTCATGGTCAGTGCAGTTTTTTACTAAATAACTATATTCCTAGGGCAACTGAAGAAACAAATAAGTCTTCAGTCATCCCAAGTTGCACAGCTATTGCACAATGCCCTTGTTCTCTGTTCTTGTCATTACTAGAATACAGCAGTCAACACTGGCTTATAAAAAGTTGATATGGGGCTATAAGGAAAAAATGCCAATAGTTTGTGCATAATTCTTCTTTTTCATATATATGGCCCCAGTCTTTATGAGCTTCCCAAAGATTAGATACACGCTACATAGATATCCCAGTTCTCTCAGTCTATGCATAGTGCACTGATCCTAAGAGTTCCCATTATTACAAGCAAAAAAAATACAGGTTATTTTAAGAGAAAAATGAGTAATAAAGCACAGAGAGAGCCAAGCCCCATCAGTCCTCACTGCCTAATTTACTGCAATGGCAGGGCATGGACTAATGGACATGGGCACTTGTTCTTAACAGATGACCTCTGTTCAATACTGCAGAGCAGAGCAAAAGTTTCCCCAGAGCCCTTGCAGAAAAAGTACTCCAATAGACCCTGTGAATATGCCCCAGGGATAAAATCTTTCTGGACCTCAAACTGGAAAAGAATTCTGCCCTGTGCCCATGGGCAAGAATCACCACAGCTGAATTCATTTACACATTGAGATTTTACCAGTAATCCCATTCATACCTCAGGATTGGTTGCTGCAAAATGAAATGTTATACTTACTCATCTAACTCTTCCTCTTCAGTTTTAGAGGTATCTGCATAGAGGTATTTACTCATGTCCACTGGTCTTACATTCTTCCTTTTTGCAAGTTGTGGAGGGGAATCTTTGATGATCATACACATTTCAGGTTCAGGATCTGGCTCACCAAATGGATTCAAATTCTCTGAAGCATCATCCTCTTTAAAGGGATTATAATTTTCATTATAGTAAGATTCTTCTGGTTTTGCAGATGAAGTTGTCTTAGTTTCTGATTCTATAAAATATTTTTAAAAAGATTATTTAACAAAGAAAGAATGTACAACTATTTCAGGAGGTCTTTATATTTTCAGGGCCTTGTAGAAAGCTCTGAAAAGCTTGTGAAAGGTCCTCAGAGCAATACTTCACTCTGGGCTGAAACTTGGCAAATGAGATCTCTACCTCATAATGAATTTCCATGCTTTATTTACAGTGTAGCCTCATTTATCCAAAAAAGTGCTTCTCTGAAAGGAGGTTATGTCCCTTTTGAAAAGCTTTCCGCTTATCCAAAACTTGTTTCAGCCAAACTGGCTATTTGTCCCCCTTCCATTGAAACAAATACGGTCTCCAACCCATGTGATTTAGTGTAGTCTATTAGGCTATTCAGATCCTGAAAGAAGTGCTTTTAAAAATTCTTTCTGCTGTTTTTACTTTAGAAAGATTTTATTTTATCATAAACTGACATTTTGTGGACTTTTTATAACTGTTGATACAGTTGGGCCTTTCCTGTGTTCTTTAAAATACCTAAACTAGTAATACCTGTGGAAGCTCCTCTTAAGTGTAATTGTTAACTTAATTTTTTTAATGTATGTATTTTAACTGTTGTCAGACATTAGTAAGACTTAATATAGTCTGTCTACCCTTTAACATGCAATTTATTTTAAAGAGATACTTTATCAGATTAATAACCCATTGTTTGGAATACATAGCAGAAAAAATATCAGCGATTAGCAAATCTGCACAATGCATCAGAGCAACAAAGGGGATGTGAAGGATTTAATACAAGATGGTGGTGTGATCCCTTGAGTGGAACAATAAAAATAAATTTGTAGGCAGAGAAACCTAGCCATAAAGACATTCCGTGAGGGTTGACCTCGCTATTCTTATAAACAGAAAAGGGTCAGAAGCTTACTCTAATATTTGATTTGACAAGAGGGCACTTTTGCAGGGAAGACTCCACTAATACCCTACAATGAGGAACTCTGATAGCAATATTATCTAAAAGCTTAATTTTTATTAAAAATTTGAAGATTACAATTTGAAGATAATGAAATAGTTTAAAGCAGGAATAAGGTCCACTTTGCTTGTCCATACTATTGACTGGTCATCTAGCTATAAGACCAAAAAGTATGGCAAATCCCAAGTGCTGACACAGCCCCACTTCTATTCAGATTATTTGACAAATACAGGTCAGGAATGTAAGAGGTCTCACTTCAGAAGGATCTCAGGCATCATGGTCATTCAAAGTGATGACATTTCACAACTGAACTCCAAAAAATTACGTTGGCATATTTTGTCAGAGAATATTTTACTGGCTTCTCTCAGAAGAGACTGCTCACATGGAAACAACACCACTGTCAGAAGAGCTGAGAATAAGAAGGGATTTACTATGCATTCTCCATAATAAAAAGAGAACTTTAACATTTAGCTAAACCCAAAGTGATTATCGAGAACATAACCTCACTTCTATGACACAAGGTGAGCTCAATAGCACACAAAAAGAAAAGAAAATAGTATCTTGCCAAATTGTATTGCAGACTTTAACAGCTAACTGTGTATTACATTACACCTTCTTGTTGGAATATTTAATACTACCAGTGATTAATCAGGAACCTTCTTTATATACCAAAATTTCTGTAAATTCTAATATTACCTGCAATCCCTATTTCTTTGAGCGAGTCCAATGTAACCTAACACAAAGGAAGTAAAATGTGTGATAGTTATATTTGGCTAAAGTATATGCACTAATCAATATATTTAGCTATATTTACATTTTATGAAAGCATTTAACTTTACACCAGAGTAAAGGCTGGTGTCTAAGAAGAGACTGGAAAAAGGATAGTTGAAGTGTGAGATTAAAAAATTGGATGAGACATAGGGAAACTGTGTCCATATAAAATGTTACTTTTACATTTTCAAAGCACCTATAAACACTAGCTAATTAAATCCTTGAGTCTAAAGTAGTAATAGTAAAAAAAAAAATTAAAAATCAGAGATATATTACTATTCCTGTAAAAAGCTAAAAAGGAAGTATGTTAATATGTAAACTGGTTAAGCCTCCTAGTTTTAAGCAATATAAACTAACATCAAAGGTTTGTTTCTGAAGACAGGATGATGCTTTAAGAACTATTTAAAAAATCAACTGGACTTAAATAGAGAAAGCCACATTATAATCATGCTAAATGTCTAAGGTTAAATTGACAAAAGCAAAAAAAAATCCAGAGTTAATACTGAAACTGTCTTTCAAAGCAATAAAATAAGAGGTAGATCAATCAAGGCTCTTGGAACACTGAACAATTTCTCATTTGACCTATGTGGCAACTCAGTGTATTACTAGCCTTATATCTCACTTCTCTGGCTTTTGTCAGCATAAGCCATAGTCCTAGTTTTTTTATGTAATTTTTCATTTAAGTTTCTTTTCTTTTTTTTAAGTTGTTCATTGACATAATTTATGTGGTGGTAACACCAAAAGATCTCAAACAGCACTGGGATTCCAGGACAATAGACACTGGAGAAACACACAAAAAGAGGTGTTCCCTGACAAAGACCTAAGAGACTAAGGCTCCAGTCAAGGAAATGATATGTCTGTATGCAGTGCATGTCCGCAGTCCTGATGCAATCAATTATACTACTCAATGCACTTAAGATATTCATGTTTAAGTCATTTGCTCAGTCAGAGTCAACTAGAGACACTTTTGGGATCTGGCCTCAAAATATATACAAGCAAGGGAAACAGGGATACTAGGGTACATCACATACTGAGAGATGTATGAGAGGTAAGAGATGCATGTAATCTTAATTCAGATTATGTTATGTCTATTGCAATTTTGCTTAATTTTTAAACAAAGCCTTCCCTTGCTTCAAAATTATTTTTAGGTCTTAATTTTTTTCTCCAGGGAGTGCCCAAGAAGTGGCGTATATGTGGTTCAGCAAATTAGGTGGATTTTGCATGTATATGGTGACCTATTGCTGGACGCAGACTCCAAGTGCCATTGTATGTAGTAAAGTTAGACCTCTGCTAGAAAGGCATACCTCCAGATCATATTACCTAACACATGTTAAGCTAACACTGGACTGCTCTACAGAGGTAATACAATCCAGGGACTCTGGTGAGGCAACAGAGGGGTAGGAGTCTGACAAAGCTGCTTGCTGGGGACCCACCCTTCTTACCATTTGGGAGCTTTGAACCAGCAACTCTGCAGTGGTGGGGAGGAGAACTGGAGCTTGACCAAGCTGTTTGTCAGGCTCCCAGGCTCCTTACCACAAATCAGCCTTGAACTGGCAAGGCTCCAATGAGGTGAGGTGGTGGGGAGGATGGGAGCCTGACAAACAGCTTTGTCAGGCTCTCTTGCCCCCTAGCCAAACCACGGCCTTGTCAATTCAAGGCTCTGGTGCAGCATGGGGGCTGGGGCCAGCTCCCATGCCATATTGGTGTCACTCCTAACCCCTGTACTGCACACGAACCTTTAACCGGCTCCCACGTGATCCCAGGGCTGAGACTGACAATCAACTGATGGCACTGCACTGGAGCTGGTTCAAGGCTCTGGCGTAGTACCAGAATCTGTATTTAGATCGTAGTCAGCATTAACATGTGACTGCTCAGAAAACTAAGCCATATTAATACTTACATGATGTAAGTACTAAGTGCAACGTGCAACAATGTCCTTAATTATGTAAAAGTAAAAACAAGAGTTCTAGTGTGGCATAGCAAGAGTCAAACACACAAGTTTGTACAGGTAAGTAATAAACCTGCAGGAGTAGGAGTGGCAAGAAAACAAGTAAAATAATTGTTGCAGCTAATATACTGACAATAATATACTGACAACTTTTCTACAATGCTGTGCCAAAAGTACCTAGTATAGTTCTACCACAAATATCAGCACCATCCTTTACATACATCTTCTTTATCATAAGCATATAGCAATATACACCTTTAAAAATTATACCCAAACTAAAGCTCTACCATTAAACTGAGCACATCAATCCTGAAAGAATGAACCACAGGGGGCACACACTAGTCATATTCACTTAATGCACTAAGACCCTTCCACTAGATCAGGGGTGGGCAAAATACAGTCTGCGGGCCACATCCAGCCCGCCAGACCATTCTATCTGGCTCGCAGGGCACCTTCAAAGTTTAAAAGATTAATATTTATCTGCTCCAGGCTCCCTGTCAAAACTGACAGGAGACAGGAGAAGTAGGACCTAGGGGGAGACAGCAAGAAACAGGAGAAAGGCCAGCTCCCCAGCAATAAGTCTCTGCCTGTGGGAACTTTCCCTGCATGCGGCCACTCCAGCACCACATGGCCCCAGCTGCATTGCTGGACCGTGGGAGCAGGGGTGCACTGGTACCCCAGGGCCAGGAGAGGGAGGGGGGTTGTGTGTGTGTGTCCATCCAATGAGGAAAGGAGGGAGAGAGAGAGAGAGAGTGTGTGTGTGTGTGTGTGTGTGTGTGCGCGCACAATGAGGGAGGGAAGGGGAGTGTATGCATGTTCGTAGGGTGAGTCCCACAAGCACCCCCACCATACACATGCACCCACCTCCATCATACTGCCATGCATGCAGATACCCACACCAACATATGTGTCTACGTCTATGTCAACAACCTTTCACACACCCCAGCCACCCTCTCCCCCACAATCCCCATACCTACCCACACCCCACATATACACAGGCACCCACATACTCCCTCCCCCCACACCCCTATCCAGCCCCACAACCTTCCCTACCTCCAAACCCCAATGCACAATCTGTATTTATTTAGCAGCACAGAATGCTGTGCAATGTCCCAAGGCACTTTTTCAATAAAATTAGATCATCCTAAGGCAGCAAGAAGGAAGTAGGGCATGGGGGTGATGAAAAGTAAAATTGTAGTACAAATTAAGCTGGAGGGAAGGAAAAACAATGCTTTCAAACTTCCTCAGGTGGGACATTCCTCAGTGTCACTATTAAACTGGGAAAGGACTGACTCAAATTCCCCTAGGGAACTACTTCTCTTCTGGA